TCTGAGGCTTTGCTCTGGCAAAGCCTCAGAAGCGCGGGAACTCGCCCGGTGCCCGTGGTCTGCTGGAGATGGTCTCCAGCAGACCAGGGGCATCGGAGCAGCTTACGAATGGGGCTTTCTCGCCCCGACCTCCGGGGCGAGAAAGCCCCGTTCGTAAGTGCGGATCCGACATAAGTCGGATCCGCGTAAGTCGGGGACTGCCTGTACTATTTCTCTCCCTCTGTGGTAGTTACAGTCTTGACGATTTATGTCCATCACCCTTGTTGTCACATCGCCAAGTTCATTTTTACATTCTTTCCTTGTTAATTGATCCCTCCAGTCACTTAGTTACTTGTTCTTCTTTTCACCTCCAATTTCTTAATACCTTTCTGACAACTGGGGACTGATAGTTGAAAGGAAAATTCCAAGTGTGCTTGCATCAGAATTATGTAGAAAGGGGCTACTGTAAAATTAACACAATTAAACCGATGTTTTAGTACTTTCCATCCTGAATCAGTCCAGCTTGTCTTACAAATGTTAATTATAAACACAGTGGAATCCTAACACTGCAATGCTGCCACCTCTTAGGTGGAACGAGCAGCCGCTTGACTCGATTAATGGAAATCTTACTTTTAAAAAAAATAAACTTTTACTTTCACTGACTATCCTTATCCCCAGGAAGGGAACTGTGCTCACTAATAATCCTCCTTTCCACTGCCTCTTGTCAGCACAGCCTTCGCTACAGCCAGATGTGAAATTCCTGCATAGAAACACTCCCTGTTTGCAAGTGAACATAAAACACCAGACTCCCAAGTCCCCTCATGACCTGCCTCCTATCTCATCCTCCAATATGGACATTCTGATTGGCCCCGACTGCGTCTGCAACAAAGCGAAGGCTGCATGGGGAAATGACCCTTTCTGTGTGGCAGTACAATACACAGACATTCAGCATTGTGACTGGGCTCCAGGTAGTTGCTAGGTGCTGTACAGAGATGCCACGGTCCTGAGGCGTACACTGGCTTAGTGTGACATAGGGAAGGCTTTAGTCCACAGCCCAGGAATACTGGCCAGAGGCTGCACAGAAGGACTCTTCATGCCATGCCCCAGCTGTACCCAGGAACCTCTGCTCCAGTTCCTGCAGCCTGGCTCAGCCCCCCAACCCCTGCTTCCCCAGCCCTTCCCTCACCACCCTCCCTCCATCCTTAAGACAAAGCCCCCTTGCTAGCCCCTTCCCATCCCTTCCCCACCCCCACCTGTCCACCTCCCCTCCC